CAAAACACCAACAACCATTATTAGGTAGGGTGTGCTTATAATTGTATAATATGTTTGGTTAAAGGGAATAGGAGAGAGAAGAGAAGAAGATTTTTAACAAAACAAACTACAATATCTAAAAATTATTATAATTTAATTAATCAAGAAACTCTATCCTTTACTCTATTTCCTTCAACTTAAATTTACTATTAGAGCTGATTAATTATGACTCAAACTCTCTAATGACTTTTAAGCCCCTAAATTAGTAAAATGAGGGACCTTGACACTCCTTTTTTTTCATGTTAGATGGAACTTAAAATCTGCCATGAAAAAGGGCTTTTTGGTCACATTTACATAGTTTAAGGCCTTATCTATTACTTTTTTATTTTTACTTTTTAAATTTGATATTTATATACACAAAATATATATAATATTATAAATAAATTTTTAAATAAACAAATTAATTATATAAAAATACATTATATTATAAACTAATAATACTACATAGCATTATAGATATAACGTTCTCGTTTTATATATAATTAAGGTTAAGATTAAAATTAATTGAAACCCTTCGGAATTATGAACAAGATCTAGCCTTTATGGCCCAGGCCCAGGAGCTAGGTCTGAGTAGTAATGAATGGCCTGTGTATTTTGGTTAAATTAAATTTCAGACCTATTGAGTATTAGTCCACATTGCCAAAGCACGCAGTCTTTCAACTCAAGCCTAACAGGTATGCTAATTGTAAAAACACTCTCATTTATAATTAAAAATAAGTGAAGGGGAATTTATTTATACATAAATGTTGTACATTATATTTAAATAAAATTTTGATAATTTATTTTTTTATTTTTAATTGTCAAGATTTTTTTATAATTTTTTAGATAAAAAATAATTATTTTTAATAATATAATAAAATTTAACTATTAAAATAAAAAATAAATTATTAAAATTTTATAAATATAATATATAAAATCTATGTAGAAATAAATTTTTATTCAAAACAATTAATTATAATATAAAGAGATTTTGATTTTTAACATAGAAAGATACGAGTAGTTGAAAAAAAATTAAGGGGGATTTCAAGGGGCCATAGGCACTGAGTTACTTTAGAATATCAATAATTGACTTGGACCATTTTGCTTGGTGTAGATGGGTCTGGTATGATTCCAAGGCTTTAATTAAGGGCCGAGTTTTTAGGAACCTGGACTGGCTGTCCAAAATCCAAACAGAACTTAATTACTACGGATTTTTCTGACTTAGTATTTTTTTTATAATAAATGTGTATAAAAATATAAAAATTAATATTAATTTTAATTTTAATGATAGATGAATGTAATTAGATAATTAATAAATTAATTATTGATTTTTATTTTTTGATATAATTTATAATAAAAAATATATTTGATATATTTTTAATATATATCATTACTGTACAAGTTAAATAAATCCAATTACTAATTAGAAGGAACCTCAAAAACATATGGCACCTACTTTGGAAGAACTTCATTATCTAAAACAAGAGATTCCCGAATGCATTTTCTGTTTTGATGCTTTCTCCTTCTTTAAATTATTTGTGGTCGAAAATGCATTTCTTTGTATGAAGACAAAGCCAAGTATGCAACTTGGTAGTGAATTGCAGAATTGGAATATTTCAGTTTTATTAGTCCATACTTAAAAGGATATATACAAATGCTTCTCTTTTTTTTTAATAAAAAAAAAGGAGGAAAAAATTTAGGTTGAATGATAAAAATTAATTTTATCTTATTTCTTAATTCACCGTCATTTAATTTTATATAATTTGAATTCAAAATTTTTGTTTTTGTCATTGACTTCTTTACACTTTTCTTTTTATATTAATGAATTTAAGTGTATATATATATTTTTAAATAAATTCACAAAGAAAAATGCATTTAAATGATACATGACGTAACTGATACGAAAGCTCAAGTTCAAATTTAAGTGTACATACTTCATTAATTATACAAAGTTCAATATGGGACAGTGATGCTGCCCAAGAATGTACAGAGCATGCAATTTTCTCATACTGTAATTACATAAACGAAAGAAAAAGTGTTTTATGACTTAAATTATTTTAAATTATAAAATATTTATTTTTTTATAAAAAGGGATTCACTTTATTTTATATTTTAAATAATATAATTTATATCACATCATTAATTTTAAATTTTAATCTTAAATCTCAATCTCTTTTATCATTATTCTTAAATTAATCCATACATTTTTTTTTAATTAGAGTAATAGTGTAATTAGATTCAGGGCCCAGAAACGAAGGGAATGACGTTAGAAACTTAGAACTAGACAACCAGTAATCAGATGCGGAGAGTTGTGGCACTTGAAGTTGTAACCCCACGATTTCGGCTACCTACCTACAAACTAGCGCGTCTCTTCACCCCCTTTAAACTCGCGTGCCTCAAGACTCCAAATTTTCTCGAGAGAATTTTTTTTTTTTTTTAACATAATGATTAATTAGTTAGTTTTTTTTTAATTATTTATTACTGGCTGTTTATTCCTTCATTTGGTTGTATATTTCTTTCCTTTCTTCAATTAAGTGTGCGGCCATCGGACCGTTTTAGTGGAGTTCTTTTTCGAGACAATCGAATTGGATAAGAAAGAAACGGGCCCGCCTTCCCAATATCTATCCATACACGTGTCATCTCCGTCGTAATCTGGACACGTGTTGATCCCTCCTTTTCTGAACGCAAACACTAATCTAAATTTCCCCCAAATTCCCCAATCCAATCGCGACACGCGTTAGACAGGTCTTAGAACTTTCTCATCAACGATTTCCAGTTTTCTGATTTTTCCACTCTCATTTTTTTTTAAATAACTCTACGCAACTGTTATTCCCAAACGTACCCCCAAGAAAGTCTTTTTTACAATTTACTAACAACTTTAAGCCAAGTGATGGTTAATTGGTTGGGGGTAGATCTGTCTTTGAAACGACCGCCCCACAACTACTTTTTTTATGTTCACTTTGTACTTTATTTGTTGGGCACTAACAGGTTTAATTTAATTTTTTAAAATTTTAAATAAAAAATTTAATAATTTATTTAAACAATAATTAAAACTTTTTTACATAAAATTTTTTATATAATATATTAAAATTTTACCTAAAATTTAAATTTAAAAAATCAAAAAATTAATCTAAAACAATTAAAAATGAAATATAAGAGGTAATTTGTTATTATCTTCATAAATTTACTGGTACTTAAAGAGATTTCACTAAATCAACCAATAACTTGTTGATACAAATTAAAAGAGTTTAATTTTTTTAAAATAAAATTTTAAATTTGAATATTATAAATGAAAAAATAAACTTACAAGAGTTATTATTAAAAAAAAAAAAACTAAATCAAACAAATTTTTTATTATTTTTTTTCTATTATTATAGAATAAAAGTTTCAAATCAAATTTTATATAATGTAATTTTTGACTTCAATTTTTTTCAAGATAACAAGATAATGAATATACATGGCAATTATATCTATATAAAATTTGGAGATGTATTCCCTTATATTAATTTTTATGGTGAATATACCTTTAAGATAGAGGCGTGGGATGATATTTTTTTTATAGTTGTAAATATTATAAATGTTTTAAATAGTGATTTTTTTAAATTTTTTCTTAAATTTTTAAAAGAAAAAAGAGTTTATAAATCAGAAATACGAAAGGGAGGCAAAGATTTAAGATTGTGCTTCTGGATTTCTCAAAATCAAAACATTTAAGAAGAAAATAATATAGAGAAAAAAAAAATAGCAAGAATTAAAAAAGGCAGGAAAAAAAAAAGGGAAATTGTTTTCTTCCCCATCTGCATGTGCCCATTATCAGTTCCTGTTACTGCCCGGATCCTCCTTTCCTCCTACGTACCTTCATTGCTCTCAATTGCTTTGACTATTATTTTGCTTCACCTTCTCCATTAGATCCATTCCAGTTTAAATTTCCACCACCCTTTTATTCCACTCTACATTTCTCTGATCCGATTCCTTTCAAATCCGATAGCTTGCATTACCAATACCATTTTTCAAGAAGCTTTCTTGCTCTGGTTTAGGGGGATTTTTTTGAACGGTAAAGGGAATTTGAGATTTGGGATTGCTTGCTTTTTTTTGGTGGTATTAGGCATGTTGAGGGCGGGATTGTCGTTTGAGCGGGTGCGCGGAGAGGATCGATTTTACAATCCTGCCAAGGCGCGGAGGGCGCATCAGAATCAGCAGACCGATCAACTGCGGAGAGCGCAGAGCGATATTACGGCGAGCCAATCGCCCTCCGTTAATGATAAATCGGTGTCTTCGGAGAAACGTGAGCCGGAGAACCAGGACCCGCCGAAACCGGTTGCGGTTCCGGCTTTTGAGCCGTTGGTTTCGCCGTTGAGTAATTTGAAGCGGTTTTTGGAGTCAATCATCCCATCTGTGCCAGCGCAGTATCTCTCCAAGGTTTGTTCGATTTCAAGACAATTGCTTTCTGTTAGGTGTGCAACTTGATTGTTTAGTAAAGTAGAAAGAAGGGATGAAGTTTATGCCTTTCTCTTGCAAATTAATTAAAATCACTTGAAAAATGCTAACTTTTAACCAACAATTTAGCATTATTTAAAAACCCAAGTAACAGATTTTGGGTTTTTTAGTTAATTGAATGAATTCGTGGCAGACAACCATGCGAGGCAGGAGGACATGTGATGTGGAATTTCAGCCATACTTTGTTCTTGGTGATTTATGGGAGTCCTTTAAGGAATGGAGTGCTTATGGTGCTGGGGTGCCACTTATTTTGAATGACAGTGACTCTGTTGTTCAATATTATGTTCCATATTTGTCCGGTATTCAGATGTATGTCAATTCTATCAAATCATCAACAAAACCAAGGTAAACTATTCTTATATTTTTATGCACTCATATTACTGTCATTAGTTTTTTAGTCTATTACTGCACTGGAAAAGAAGTCAGGTTCTATTGCCAACGTGATTCTCTAGACTTCACCTTATGGTAGTAATGTTGCTGCAGATTGTTTTCAAAATCTTTTATATGGACTACTAATTGCTAGTGCCAACCCCCAGCTCCCAACTTGAAATCCATTATGTCTTGGACAATAGGCTTACCTGCTGAACTAATCATTCAGTCGGTGATGTTTCTCATATTGAGTTAAGAAAGATGGTTTCACTTCTCTCAAATATTCAGTGATTGAATGTCCTTTTATGATAGGCAACCTCTTGAGGACAGTGATAGTGATTTTAGGGACTCAAGTAGTGATAATAGCAGCGATTGTGAGCTTGAAAGAAGATCGAATGGCTTAAGAGAACAACGTAATCATCACAATGTGGCAAGTGAGATTCCCCTGAAGATGGATAGATTGTCTTTGAGAGATCAGCAGATTTCTCATCAAGAAGACTTCTCTAGCGATGAGGGTGAACCTGTTAATTCTAGAGGTCGTCTGCTTTTTGAGTATCTTGAATATGACCGTCCTTATATCCGGGAACCATTAGCTGACAAGGTTAGTACTTTCTTATCATCTCTTTCTTTTCATTTTGTTTTTAATGTGTTTAATAATAGTAAATACATTAGAGGCTTTGGTTTATTTTTCCCTCATTTTCTTATCTTTAATTGTTCCCTGAACTTGAAAATCACCGCAGATATCAGATCTTGCCTCAAGATTCCCTGAGCTAAAGACTCTAAGAAGTTGTGATTTGCTACCTTTCAGCTGGGTTTCTGTGGCCTGGTATTATGATATCATAACATTAGATTGTTTTGAGGCTATAATGGCATCTGTGATTGACAGGAAATGGACCTTTTTGTAGGTATCCAATTTATAGAATACCAACAGGACCCACTTTAAAGGACCTAGATGCTTGCTTTTTAACATATCATTCACTTCATACACCAGTCGGAGGTAATATAGAAATTTTCCCATTCTTTTGTTTATTTTCAATGCTTGAGTGGCTTCTGCATGTTTGCATGAATTTGTTATGTATTGTGTATGCTGTTTATCTTTGTTTTGTGGTGATATTAATGCCTACTGCTGGCATGTAGGTATTGCCAACTATATTCTCTTTGTGGTTCTTTTAGAGTCTAATAGGATAAGAGGGCTGGTATCTTGTGTTACACTTACATCTCTGCTGGATTTCCCACTAGACCTGAATTACTTGTTGGAAGTGTACTCTTAGATGTAGGGTTAACATTTTCTCCTTTTTGATTACCCTTGCATCTTTTTTATCTGAATCTTTGTTGAAAATCTTGCTTCTTGTTTTCAACCAGATTCTTTTTCTCATGCACTGATCAACCCCTATAAATGCAAAACATCTTTACTAGATTCTTTAGTTGCTTTCTTTCAGGCACACAAAGTGCAGAGACTCCAGTTTTAATCCATCCCAATGAGATTGATGGGGTTCCAAAGATGTCCTTGCCTGTCTTTGGTCTCGCTTCATACAAGTTTAAGGGTTCCCTGTGGATGCCAAACGGGGAATCTGACTCCCAATTAGCAAGCTTCCTCCTGCAGGCTGCTGACAATTGGTTGCGGAAGCTTCAGGTTAACCACCCAGATTTCCTGTTTTTCAGCCGTAGGTGGTAGTCAAATTTCCGTGTAACTATATTACTCCTACCATTCCAGAATGAAAGTGCATTTGCAGTTTTTAACTTGAATTATGCACCTATCAGTCAAAATCCCTTAATTTTAAGGTCAAGACGGGAAGGTTGGTTTGGACCAATCCTCTCTTCATAATAATTTTATAAAAGAACTGGGAAGCAAAATCATCTACTGCGAGTAGGATACAGTTGGAATGGAAGGAGAACTTTTGCAATAATGCTCTAGATACAGCGGGTAGGGAAGTTTAGAGTGGCATGTTAATGGAGGGCTGGGCTCCGCATGTAAAGTTTGTTATAGCTTGCTGTTGACAAAGCTACTTTTAACTTTCTTTTTCACTTCCATATTATCCTAGAAACCAGGCCTTTTTTCTGCCCTGATGTTCAGTATTTGGGATATAACTATTTTATTTATCATTATACATGGGATGTCTGTAGGGTGAATTGAGCTACCCTAATATGTAATTGAACACTTTTTGTTCATCAACTTTCATGTTATGGAAAAAAAAAGGATTATAGAGTATGACCGATAATGAGTTGATATGAATAGGTTATTTTCTTTCCTGTTTTTTTTTGCACTAATACTAGAGGTTGGAGATGCACATGTTGATATAATTCCATTTCAAATTAACCCACGGTTTTCAATACAATCATTTCTTTGGCCATTCTTTAGTTTACAGCAATCTGGTCTACTGATTCAAACACAAACCTTCTAGTCTTGGTTTTTCATTGAACAATTTATGATGAACAAGATTGTCGTTGGTTAGTGTTTAGAGCTCAGTTTTCTCCTCAAGAACCAGGTCCTTAAGCTCTCTCCTTGGCCTCTCAACAGATTTGATTCATCATGCTGTGGAATGGTATCAAATTACAGTTTCTGTTGACATCTTCACCTTTATTGCCCTTGCAATCCTCTTTTTCTCCATTCATCCTCAATCTATCCATGTCTGAATAATCATTTGTAACTTGCGCTCCCACTTGCTCTCAGGCTTTTCTCCTACTGCAAACTCAACGCAGTATTTTGCCTTCAGACACATCAGTTTTTTCACATTCGTTCAGGATGAAACCGGAGTGATATTATGAGTTTTCCCTCTACCGGATTATAAGCAACAGGATCATAAAACCCCCCCTCAATCAAAACATTAGGGGCAAAGGCGTTCCGCAGAAATCTCTAAGCCAATTCCTTCACCACCTTTGTGGTGATACCCATTTACCATGATTTCCATTTCCTCTTCCCCCAGAGAATCCTTGAACCATTGATGCAGAGAAGGGTCCACCGGTCACCACCTTCACCATATCCCCATGTCCATCACAATTTTCAAGTCCATATGAACCACCCTTTTAAACCCTTCACTGGATCTTTCTAAATTTCTTTGATAATTCTTTCTAGACATCTTGGTGCAATGTACTCCCGAAAAGCCACATTCAGGACTCGGGACCCCCCTGCAAATACCCAAGTAGGTTATGTTCCTTTTCAATTGTGGTGTCACCAAATACAATTGTCAATTAGAACAATTAAGGCGTTTAAGACCGAAATTGGGCCTGAGAAAGACCCATGATAGGTTCATCCAGTTGGGGTGCCCCCCAGGATGGACTCACTAGATTCATACTGCGTGCCACGGGCAAGAGTCTGAAAGCGGATTAAAGTCATTTTGCGGCGAAGAAATGACGACATTTTTCAGGCATGAGATGGATTTTCTTTCTTCAGCAACAGCATTCGACAGACACGGCAACCCATTTTCCCGCAAGCCAACCATATTCCAGCTAATTTGCCAGATTCCATAAATCGAAGTCAAAACAGTGGTCCCACCAAGCTCTTACGATTGGCAAGCCTTCACATGTCCTGTAATTACTATACTTACGAGTGGTTTTCAACAATTCAACCTGCTTTTTGTGTATTTATTATATATATATATTATTTTGATTGTATAATGAAAGATAATTGTGTTTTATTTTTTATTTTACCTTAGTCATATGTCACACAACTCTAATTCAGGATCTTTGAATTCTAGCTATAGAAGATGATCACTGAATTATTTAAGTTTGTTGATATATATTTATTATATATTTTTATTATTAATATTTATAAAAAAATAAAAATTGATATTATTAATTTTGTTAATTGTTTAAAAAAAATGTTAGTAACACTCTAATATTTTTTTGAACCCTAATATAATTAGTGATTGATATTAAAATTAAAATTTTTAAAATTTAAAATTATAATCAATCATATTAAATTATATCATAGACATTCTGAGTGTTTAAAAACAAGCATTAAGAAGAGTGTATATAAGAAGAAGATTGCCGGTTTAATGATTCAACAACTTAATGTAAGTCTTTTTCATCATAATAAGGATAGATCCTCCTCCCCACCCCTCTTTCCCCGGACCACTTGCCCTGATAAAAAAAAAATAAAAGAAAGTAAGTGTACATTCCTCATTGTCTAACAAAAATACATTCACATGAATCTTAAAATTTATATATATATATATATATATATTTGTTTTCTACTTAAATTATTGTCTTAAAAGCTCATTTATTGCAGTCTTATTGTATGTTGGGTTTGTGAGACAGCGAACAGAGAAAAAGGCTGAAATTTTTTATTAATTAAATTACAATATTTAATAATCATATAATTTGATTGGTTTTAACAAATCAAGCTGCAATATTTAACAAGTTAGATAAACTCAATTAATTATTAGCTAACACCACCGATCTCCAGTACTTCTGACAGTATCCAATGGAAACCCATAATACCATTAATCATCATCCAGCTAATTATTAGTAGGAGCAATGCTAGGGCACTCGCCTCCTGCACTCTCCGGTCAACACTTTCTCTTTTATTGGGCCACGTTATTTTGGTTTCGAGAGGTTGTGCCGGAAAGCTTTAAAGAAGCTTACGTGGCCCAATGAAAGGGGAAGTGTTCGCCGGAGAGTGCAAAAAGCGAGTGCCCGTAGCACTGCTCTTATTAGTAGTAGCAATTACTACTAGGGTGGTGTTATTGCCACAGCCACTACTGTTAATACCACAGCTTTTTTTAATTATTTGACTATTATACCCCTCATTTGAATCCAACTTGCAGCAGTTACCACTTTCTCCGTGTGGGTTAATGGTCAATTAACTAAAAAAACTGTGGTGTTAACCTGTGAAGCTGTGGCAATAACACCACCCTTACTACTAGCATCCAAAAAAGCAGCCCCTAATCAAAGTCTAAAAGTTGCAATTAGTCCATCCCTAAAAAGAAGAGATTTTTAGCGGGAAAAAAAAAAACGGTGAGGCAGCTATACATAAAATTTATATATATTATATTTATATA